ACACACACACACACACCCACACACTTTTCTCTCTGACAGTTTTCATGGAAGAACGCAGCATGTTCACCAACAACGCGGAGTCACCATCGTGTTTTGATTTGTGAGCAAAGAGCTCTTGGCAAGACGATCTGTGACCTGTTCCTGAAATCAGCGTAGTAAAGGTCTCCTGAGTCTAAATGGTCTTGTCCAGGCTCATGAGGAACGCTGCAGGGCTATGCAGGCCACCCTACAGGCGGAGGGTAACTGTTCAAAGTGTCCAGTGCATTGCAGTCAGATGTTCGAGGTTCTGCTTGATCTAGGCCTTCTTCCGGTGAAAGGCTTTGTGTGCAGCGGACCATGACAGGATATGGCCAGGAAGAGCCAGGAAGAGTCAAAGTGGGATCTCACAGTACCCCCACAGACACCGGGTTTCCTGAGATTTCAGGAAAACGGCTACGCCTCTTCAGCTCTGACCCACCAGGACACTCAGCTGGAGCTGGAAGCTGCCGCAGAGAGAGCTGCGCTGGAGGCCTCTTCTGCTTGGGGTTGGGGAGGGCATCGGATCGGCCCAAAACTTCAAAGAAACTAGCCATCGCTAGCAACCCTTCCTCAAGTCTGGTGGTGGTGGGAACCCTGGTGGGTGCATGATCGGGGGCCTACTGTAGTCTTCCTGATCTCATGGATCAGGTACTTGCAACAGGTCTGAGGTTGTCCGAGTGCCTTGCATTCTTCCTGAACCTATAAAAGCTGACAGGAAATGCCCGAAATCCTGCCGAACCGTACGCCCTAAACTCTCAAGAAGCGAACCGTAAGCAGCAAAGAAGCGAACCCTCCATCACGTCTCGCACGTTTCGCCAGGCCGGTCTATTGGCAGGTTCTGCTGCAGCTGCAGCTGGCAGCAAAGGTGATGCAATGCAGGCTTGGTCAAATGGTGACATTAAAAAGCTCGAAGGTTCAGCGGCTCCGTACTCTGAGTCCTAAGCCGTATACAGTACCCGAAAATAGACTTTAGCGCACATCGAGAGCAGCAGGTTTACGGTTTGGCCTTTGCTGTTCCATTCCTGTCCATTTGCAGGATTTGGCCTCTGCCACAGTGGCGCGGAATGCAGCGGAGCACCGCAAGCGCTGGCCACAACCCTAGCATTGGAGGCTGTTTGGGGTGCCATGGCCAATATAAAGGAGGGAGTCCTAATAGGAAGGCATCAGTCAGATGAAGAGGTCGGTCTTATGTTCTCGGCAGTGAACGACGGCACTAGCATGTTTTATTGTGTTCCCCGTCATCAAACCCGCCTTGGGTTGTTGCTGAGGCTGAAGGAAGAGTTGAAAGCAGTGGAGGTATCGACCTTGGTCGCATCGAACACTTGGTGCCAGTGACTTATCAGGTTCACACGTCCGAATTATGCCGGCGCGGATGAGAAATCAAACTGAAGCAAACATCTCGGGCAACTGCCACAAGACGCACTGAAACTTCATTAGCTGTGAGCAACTGCAGCTCCCCTTAACGAAGATGCTCGCGCTTGAGAGCATGTGCGAGGGCCGGTCGCGTCCACGTTCAGACAGACTGCTGATGTGTTGTTGGGACTAAACCCCCCAAACCCTAAACCCTAAACTTCAAGCTTGAAAGTCCATTTATGTGGTGGCGATTTCTTCGGAAGCCGCTCAGTGACGGCACGCATTGCCTCTTAAGGTGAAGCCATCGGCCCTCTGTCAACACGGTCAACCCGCTAACCCTCAGAGTCCCCTGAAACCCAACAGCCCCAAAACCCAAAACCCCAAAACCCCAAAACCCCAAAACCCCAAAACCCTAAACCCTAAACCCCTAAACCCCTCTAAACCCCAAACCCCAAACCCTAAACCCCTAAACCCCTAAACCCCTAAACCCCTAAACCCCTAAGGCCCTAAACCCTAAACCTTAACCGCTGCCTGGCTCTCAGGCTCAGCACCCGCCTCCGCCCACAGACACCGGGCCACTCCTGGAGATGAGGCGTGAGGCCAGGCCGCTGCTCCCTTTTCAGCGGCTCCTGAAGTTATAGGTCACATATTAATATGTGCATATATACATATATAAGTATATATATATATATATATAGATGTGTATGTATGTATGTATGTATGTATGTAGGTAGGTACAAGTATATATATATATATATATGTATACACATGTCGGGACACACACACACACCACACACACTCATGCATTTATCTTGATACAGATGTACAGATGTACATGTGTGCACACAGCAATGGTACCTATGTCCATGTATATGTATATATATATACACATACATACATAGGTATATATTCATATATATATATATATATACTGGTCTAATGCACTTGTTTGGTTTAGTGTGTAGATGTACCTGCACATATACGTATACCAGCCACGATAGCGATGCTACGATGAGTCGGAGAAGGCCACCACCACTACTAGTTCCACTTTCGCGGCCACAGTGATGGGGACCAGGACCATGATGGCGAGACGACGACGACGACTGCTGCAGCTGCTAGTCTTACTAGACGTGCGCTTGTTGTTGCTGCTACTTTGTTATTCGTCTGCCTACAGCGACTACTGTATGGCCACTGCTTTGCTGATGACGTTTGTTGCAACTAGTTGAATCTACAAGCCCAGCCATCATTACCAAGGCCGTCTTCTTGGTTTCTAGCTGCCACCTTGGCACCTTAAACACTCATTCCTGAACACAGAACTCTCGATCCTGGTAGCCCTCGTAGCCAAGGGCCCGCAAAACAATAGCTGCAACTCCTAAAGTCCTAAACCCTAAAGTCCCAGACCCTAAAGTCCTAACACAATAAAGCCCTAAAGCCCTAGACCTCATGGATAGCCGGGAAAGGTTCAGCAACTGCGCTCGCGGTTGGCGGCTTGCGAGGCCGAGACTGAGCCGGAGCCCGAGCTCTGACTTAGCCGTTTTCGGGTTTCAGGGTTTAGGGTTTAGGATTCAAGTTTTGGGGTTTAAAGTTTAGGGTTCTTATAGATTTTAAATGAGATATCTACGACGGCTTAATTGGGGGCTTAATTGGGGTTTCAAGAGTCAAGAGAACGTTGGGGAGCAAAGTGCAGCATGTTGAAGGCCCCCACCCCCTGAGTCACCCCAGTTTCCCTGGCGGAGATCTCCCCTAGGATGCCTGCTGCGGATGTGCTGGATGCGGCAGAGCAGGTGCCAACCCGGTTCGCAGAGCCAGAGCTTCGACCGCTCACCTGTGAAAGCTTCCGCAGGCTCCACCGGAGTTGGCGCAAAAAGCTGCAGAGCTGGCTGCGAGGCACCTTGTTCAGGTCTTGAAAACGGCATTGCCAATGTGCTCAAAGAAAACCCGGTGGCCCCTTCAGGAGTGGATACGGCTCAAATTCCTCATGAGTTGATGCACTTTGGAATCGACACGTTTGTCATGACATCATCTCGTGGTGTTCTGAAAAGGTCTGGGAAGAGGCTTCTGGTCACACGGGAGCCTGAACAGAGGTGTTCTTGTCAAGCGCAAGTTGCATCCTTACAAGGGCGGCCGCCCTCAAGCGGAGCGAGCAGGCAGGAGAAAGCAGTATCATGTCCAGTTGCCGCTTCTGTTCGATTCATACAGCCTCTGTGGACCAGCAGACAATTTAACATGCAGCCGAGAAGAAGAGAGAGAGAGAGAGAGGTTTGCTCGCTTCGTTCTCTGGCACCCGCAACAGTCGGGGG